ATTTAACATAGCCTACATTTCACAACAACAACGCTGCTCAGTTCAGCACACATGCGCTATTGTTCAGTTATTATACGCTTATTAAATATACGTAAATAACTCTTTCTTGAATGCTGTTTTCATTATTATGCATGCTTAGTTTGATTTGGAAAAATGTGGAACGTTTACAGCAAATCATCTCTCTTTAAAGCACTTGTAAACAATGTTTTAAAAAGTTGCTACAATATCAAACAGTATAGTGTTTTTTTTTTTTAAGTTATACATGTCAGGAAAAAACGTTTTTATGGAATCTTCTTATATTTGATAAACATTCAAAGCATTCTTTGAATTTCTCAACATTCTCAACATTCTCATTTGTAGCTACTTGATGAACGTTCCAGGAAACGCTTTCTGTAACCTTTACATAACATTATAAGCATGACAGGAATACTGCACATTTTATTAACATTCCTAGGATATTACAGATAAATGTTTAAATAATGTTATATATTGGGTGAGTAGAACATGCAAAACGTGTTTGCAACCTTTAAATAACGTTCTAAGCATGACAAGAAAACGGCACATTTTAACGTTTTAGCGACATGTTAAAACAATGTTCCCACACCGTTTTCATCGCCTAAATTTGTAGCCTGGAACCTGTAGATGTTTTTTTTAAAGAACAGCAGGTTAAGTGAAACCTGCAAAACTCTTGTGGTATGATTTCCTAAGGATAATAATCAAGATATTTAGATCAAATCCATGCATGCATGCATGCACTCTCCTCGTCCATTATTAAAACAAATGCAGAGAGACTCAGCTGTTGAAAGTATCGCTGGAGATGAATCATATCAGATGGATCTGATGCTGGAGTTCTCGTGTAAAGAAAGAGAAAGCTCAAACGCCCGCGCTGATTATTTACCTGAGCGTCACACCCGCAGCTTTAATGCTCAAGAACAGACCTGTTCAGACGGATTCTCACTCAAACACAAAGCCATTCTGACCAGTCAAGTGTGTAAACAAGGAGAAACGTGCCAGCTTACCATGATCCAGCGGGTCAGGACATCAGCATCAGCTCCTGAAGAAATCTCACCCACTTTATATGCTCACAAACCCGAATAATGTCACCTGTGTGAGTCCACTGTCAGAAGAACAGGTGTGAGGCCAGAGAACGTTGTGCAACGAGACACACACACACACACACTGAATTATTCATGCATGCAGGCCTCCACACCCACGGTTAGACTTTGGCGTCGACACCAGAGTCTAGTGCTTTAATGAGCAGGGAAACAAATGAAGAGAATCTCGCAGCGTTCACACGCGTCTTTGGGAACTTGCTTCGACTTGATGCTTTTACAGACTGACAGACTGGTTAATGAGGTTTTTGGGTCATTAGTCTACTCTCCAATGGCTGCTTTCATTTCACCTACAAGAGGAATATATTAAAAAAACACATGTATTTGTAACAAAACTAGTAACTCAAGCCTGGTCCTGGACAGGGAATGCAGTTTTGCAGAGATTAATGAGTCAGTAATAACCAGCAAGAAATATGTATTGGTGGATCTTCAGTTGTGTTGATATGAGATGTGTAATAAATTTTAGAACGTATTTTTAATTGTATTTTTTCTTGTATGTGTCTTTGTGTTTGCTATTTTGGCCATTTTACATTTATTATGCTGTTATTTATTTATACTGGGCTCTCCGCAAAACAGATATACATGCAAGTTATATTTGCATATTCCCGCGCTTCTAAAAATGATTCTAAAAATGTCTTGCGCTGAACTTTAAAACGCCATTTCACCCGTGTTTGAGTGTGTATATATATATATATATACACACATACACACCCATAATAAGGCAAAACAAGCAGAACTTCCAAAAAAAAGTGCACAATTCCCAGCTTTGTTTTGCTAACGTTCCCATTTAGTTATGAAAACATTATTTCTTTATGTTCTCTGAACATTCGAAACATCCATGCGAACGTTAAAGGAACATTCCATTTAGTTTAGCAAACATTATAGGAACGTTACATTACAAGTAACATTTAAAATAAAAATAAAAAAACATTAGATGAATGTCCAACTAAAACATTTAAGAAAAAAAAAACATTTACAGTAGAGCTGGAAAAACAGATGTTTAACCCTATCCTCAATACATCACATTAAGTTTTAATGACTTGTTTCCGTGGTTTCCCGCGCGTTTGCGCTCGGCATTCTGGGAGTGTTTCGTAACGCCTGCCGTGACTCACTTTAACCGCACATATTCGGTTCCTGCTGTCTGAAATGCGATCCAGATGGCAGGGCCGGGTCTCTGTGTGCCACCAGCACCAGCAAACACAAACACTGGAATGCTTTCACGGGCAGACCCTCTCACTTCTCCTGATCTGAGCTGAGGTTCGTTTAACTGAAGCGTTCATGTTCAAGCAATCAGAGGAGAACGCGTTCTCTGTCCTGTCTGAGCAGTCCCTTCATTTAGCTTCTAGTTAAACTGCGGTTTTATGCTTGGCTGTCTGTTGGGCCCTTTATGTTTCCAGGGTTTCTGGGCCCAGAATCACACACAAGTCACAGAGAGCTTCATTCGACTGTAAACCGCAGCTTTAGAAGTGTTAGCGCCACCTGCCGACGAAAGAACCGCACCGCAGATGTTTTTTCTAACAAACAGGCCTTTCTTTGGTTGTGTGGAAGTTTTAGCTCAACCAATAAAAATGTATTTTTAGGACAGTAGCTAGTAGTCTAGTAGATCATCTAAGACCAGAAACAAACCAGTTCCCAGCTGGTCATGCAAAGCTAACAAGTAACGTTCTGGCAAGGTTCTCTCAAAGTTATGAACAAACGTTTTTCCAGTAATGCTAATAGAACGTTTGTTCAAAGTTATCTGGTTTTTAAGAATGTTCTCAAAACGTGAGCGCAAAAACATTATTTATAGATTGTATATGGAATATTTTATTTCTGAAATGTTTTTGTTGTTTTTTTAAATGTTGCCAATTGTTTCAGAACGTTCAGAGAACATTCAAAAGTAACGTTCCCAGAATGTTTGCAAAATCATAAATTGGAATGTTCCCTTAATGTTTGTATAACCAAAAAAATATAATAAATGTAAACATTTAAATAAACATTCAGCGAACATTCAGAAATAACTTTTTTCATAACTTAAAGTTGGTCAAGTTTTATCATATACACACGCACGCACGCACGCACGCACACACACAGACACACACACACACACACACACACTCACACATACACACACACTCATCACACACACACACACACACACACACATATATATATATAGTATAATTACATTTCATTTCATTCAATTCCATATTAATTCCAATTAATATGATTAATAATTCAATTTAGCTTGTATTTATTTTAATTTCAGTTTTAGCTTTATCAACTTTACTTTAACCTAAATTGATTATTAACCTAAACTTTTTATTCCAGGTAATTACTAAGTCAAGATGTATATAAAGTTTTTTGTCATTTATATAATATATTATTTAATTTAGGCCTTATTTAAAGTGACGTGTGATGTCTCATACTCGGAATTTGAGCTCTGCATTTAATAAATATAATGTCCTGTTCTGTGACCGACCATGTATAACCATGTACAGCAGTGTAATAATCCATGTTATTTTTCTGTGCAATATTACTTATGTTTAGTTTAGAACATGCAATATTACTCATTTACTTTACTACTTTTTATAATGTCTACATAAATAACCTATTTGTGTATCTAATTCAGTTAGAAAATCTATTTGTACATAGGGTCTTTTTTTTTGCACTTTTTGAGAATGATTACCGCTCCTTACTTTTCTACAAAAGCTGACTCTGAGAAATGCACAAGAAGACCAATGTACCTGTGCAAATGGAAATAAACCTCTAAACTAATATGAATTAAAATGGAATTAATATCGAATTGGGTTAAATGAAATGAAATGATTAATGTATAGAATAAAATTTACAAAAACAATTTTAAGTAGTTATTTTTTATTTAACAGTGAGTGAGTGAGTGAGTGAGTGTGTGTGTGAGAGAGAGTGTGTGTGTGTGTGTGTGTGTGTGTGTGTGTGTGTGTGTGTGTGTGTGTGTGTGTGTGTGTGTGTGAGTGTGAGCGTGTGTGTGTGAGCGTATGTGTGTGTGTGTGTGAGCGTGAGTGTGTGTGTGAGCGTATGTGTGTCTGTGTGTGTGAGCGTATGTGTGTGAGCGTATCTCTGTGTGTGTGTGTGAGCGTATGTGTGTGTGAGTGTGAGCGTATCTCTCTGTGTGTGTGTGTGTGAGCGTATGTGTTCTGTTTCTCCTCGCCGCCTGTGCCATTACACTCACTACGGCTTCATTATAGATCTGTGAGAGACGCGGGACGCCGTAATAAACCTCTCATTTTGTCTCTTAATGTCTCATAACTCTGGAAAGCGCTTCGATTCGCTCACCCAGAATGCTTTGCGCTGAACCCAGTGTGTTTGGTGGTCATTAGAGGCGTTAATCGCAGTGTTTACTCGTGTCTCTCATCTATTCTCAGGAGGAACAGCATCTGTCACAAACATGCTGGCGCTTTCAGCCTCCGTTTGCTTGTTTGAGAGTTCAAATACATGCTTTTAGTGAGCAATGACTAAATATCAGTGCAAAAATGACCGAATTTTGGCACTTAAACCCCTGTAAGTGATATATGCACATGCAAAATGACTTTCCAAACAGGTTTCCCAAACACTCGCTGTCCTGTCTAACATATGATCCATATTGCAAAGGTTGCACTAGCTACGGAAGCATGTTTAGAAAATAACAAGGTGAGGGGCCGTTCACACGGAACGCGTATTTCTATTCCAAAATGCTACTTTTGCATTGTTTTTCGACGTAAACGTGCTCTAGATGGTCGTGTATGACCTCTGCGCTCGCGTCTCGTGTCTTTTGCAGTGCTGCATCTTTAAGACGCCGTGTCAAGCTAAAAGAATTTCAACTTTCACATCAATGTCAGTTCCAAAACAGTGGGCCAATCAGAAGACCCCGGAGGCGGGGCAAGCGTTGTTTACAGTAGCAAGTTGGCATGGCAACCGTTTTATCTGACGGCAACATGACTTAGGAGGCGTTCTGTGCTGTGCTTTTTTAAAAAACGTTCCTGAGCGCCGCATCAACGTTTTAGGGGCCGTTCACATGTTGCGTCTTTTGCGCGCTCAACTTTGTTATTTCAAATGTAGATGCGCAAATATAGAGCAACGTTGTGCGACGCACTCATTTTTTTCTAGCGAGATAAAAACATCTCAACTTTTCAGAATGCCGCAAGTCATGTGACAAGAACCAACCAATCACCTTCACCCTTTCCATAACAACATTGAAAGCTCAGCCAAGATGGAGCAACAAACACGCGCGTTGTGTGTGAACGGCCCCTAACTGAGACTTTTATCTCACAATGTTGCAGAGTTCATATCTTGCAATTCTGAGTTGTTTCGCAGAACTGTGAGAAAAAAAGTCTGAATTGTGAGAAAGTCGCAATCAAACACCTTTCTGAATCAAAAACAAATAAAAAATATGATTTGTGTGCATTTATACGTCGCTTACAAAATCTTTTTATTTTGTCTGAATGCACAGCTACTTTTGAAAAAAAAAAAGTGACAAAAAAGTAAGAAGTGACACTTTGTGACATTTTTGTTAAAACTTTAACAACGATGTTTTTGTTAAAAACTTTAGATGCCAAGAAAACATTTAATATTTTCATTTAGATTAAACGATGTACAAAAATAACTAAAACTAAAACTGAAAAAAAAAAAAAATATATAAAAATATATAAACATTAAAAAAAAAGGACAATACAATTATTAAAAATGTTAAAAAAATTAAAATAAAAAAAATGGAAAAACAAACACTAATTCAAACTTTTAATAAAAACTATAATAGTATCTCTATAATATTACAATACTTGTAAACACACACACACACAGTCTAATAAATCAAAGAAACTTGTTCTGAATCTTTAAAGAAGTGAAGACTTCACTTTCCTTCATCATTTTGCTCAGTAACTAAAGTAACTAAATAAATAAAGTCACCTTAGAGTCCATAACACCGTATAGTGAAAGGATGTTCACTTACACTATCTACTGCATAATTAAACAGTTTCTTTAAATAATAAAAACAGATATGAATAAGAGCTGTATGCCCTCATTATAATCTGCATTCAATCAATCACTGTCCATGTGAAACACGAGTCTGTGTGTTAGCTTAGCGTCTGATGACATCATAGGAAGTGTGGGCGGGCTCTAAGCTCTTCAGAGCAGCCGATTGGCTGTCTGTGATGATTGGCGGCTCACACGGCAGGAAGTCATCGTTGCCGACGCTGGAGTTCTGCTCGGAGCTCACGAAGTTCGGAATGTGGAAGTCGGACAGGAAGTGCTCGTCTTCATCTCCTCTTTCGTCCTTCGCTGCCCTCTGGAGGTGGAGCCCGGGGCCCCGCCCACAACGCCTCCCTCGGCCAGTCACAGCGTCTCTGACGGCCTCCTCGTGAATGTAGAAGTGAAAGAGGGAACGTGATTCGTCCGGCAGCGGCGGCAGAGAAAACGCCTGAGAGCCGCCAAGCTCCAGCATACAGTCAGCTAGACCATGATGCTTTTCACTGGGATCAGGGATCCTGCGGAGAAACACGGACAGACTGAGGCTTTGTGTTACATCAGGTGGCACTTTTTTGACAAATCTGTAACTATTAAATAATCTCATTGCATTTTCAAATTTTTTACTTTTTAAAAAAAATTTCTACTATATTAAAAAAGTTAAATTTGTGTTTAAAAAAATATTAAAATGTGTTTAATTGAAACTTTTTAATACAAATAAAAAATTGCATTTTTAATATAAATAAAAATAAAATAGTTTACTATTAAATAAAATAGTTTACTATTATAATATAGTTTACTATTTAATAAAATAGTTTAAATATAAATAAAATAGTTGTTGAAGCCCTAAGACTGGCAAGAGCGGCTTCCAAATCTTCTGTGCCTGCGTGCGTGCGTGCGTGTGTGTGTGTGAGTGTCTGTGTGTGTGTGTGTGTGTGAGTGAGTGAGTGAGTGAGTGAGTGAGTGAGTGAGTGTGTGTGAAGGTGTATATATATATATTTATATACACCTTGCTACGTGTACTGCGTTAGGCTAACCGAGACTTGTCATTTGCACTTATATATTGTTGCTCTTTTGTTAGTTTTGACTGCTTTTATTGTCCTCATTTGTAAGTCGCTTTGGATAAAAGTGTCTGCTAAATGACTAAATGTAAATGTAAATAAAATTTTTTAGATTGAGTAAAATAAAAAAAAAGAAACTGTATACAACCACATGATTGAACTGCATTTTTTAAACTTTTTTAAAATTTTTATACAATTGCATGGTTGAACGTCATAAAAACATTTTTGTTACTTGAAATAAAATAAAGATCAACAAAAAAAAACAAAAAACTTATTTTACTTCAGCTAAAGAAAACATTACTCATTTTCATTAAAAAACTATACAAAAACTAAAATAAAAATAATAAAAACTATATAGACATATTTTTAAAAAAGCCTAATTGAATGAAAAAAAGACAAACACATGATTAAATAAACATTTTCTCATTTTATTTTATTTAATAAATGGGAAATAATACGTTATCAGTAACTATATACCAAAACTTGGTCCCCAAATAACTTTCTGAGTGACTTTACATTTTGGCATAAATTTAAATTTTTAATAAATTTAATTTAAAATCTATATTTAATCTATTGGTAATATTTCTATTAAAATATCGCAAAATCTTTGCGATTTTTGTGATTATATTTTGATATTTTAAACTTTTTTTTTGTTTTTACTTGTTTATATACACTGTAAAAAGTGAGTTTTCGAAGTTGTAAATAAAACAAAGATTATTGGTGTATGTTGTTATTGGAGAAAATACAATTTCAGATTTTTTCTACTTCAAAATTTAATGTTTAATTCAATGGTGTTCATTTTTGTAGTTGTTAAATTTACTAGCAATTTTTGAATGTAAAAACTGTTTTTGCACCGATTTTTTTTCAGTGTAGTAGAAAGCTAAATCTTTTTTTTTTTTTTACGTGTCTGATCTTTGATTTAGGTGAACAGCACATTTTAATGAGTAATTAAATCAGGGCTCATTTGCTGTAATATATGCAGCAGCTGAAGTGTTTCTGCTCATTTGAATATGTGATTACAGACTCTCTGTTTCTATGGAGACACACGTGAACCTTATTCTACAATAACACATCTGAACAAAAGCAGCATGTTGTGTGTTATTGAGTGTGTGTGTTTGTGTGTGTGTGTGTGTGTGTGTGTGTGCGTGTGTGTTTGTGTGTGAGAGAGAGAGAGTTTGGCATAATAACTGCTCCAGTATTGTGTGGGATTTTATTTATAGTCCCAAAGACTGACACTCTCTGACTGATGAGATTTAATATCTCATAATGCATTCAAAATCTGTACTATCTTCACATCATTTAAAAAAAAAAACAGTCAGAACTTTCAACCATATTATATGAGATCAGCAACTTCTCATTAATGAGTTATAGTGAAAAAACGTCAACGTTTTGAATGTTACCATGTTATTACTGCTTTTACACCTGTTTTATATATTGACAAATTTGAATTGTATTTTAATTTCAAATTACACATGAACACCAAAAAATATATATCATGCAAACATATAGATATTTTTTCAATATTAATAAGAAATTTTATTTGAATATATAATTGTATGAAATTTACAAGAACACATAATCTGAGATTTACCAGCATTAACCCCAGTGGAATGAAAGGAAATGAATAAAATTTATTTGAATTGCTCAAAATCTTACATTTATGAAATCTACATATTTATTTATAACAAAACAACATCAAAATGACAAATTAATTTGAAAAGTTTTAAAACAAAATAAATTCACTTCACTTTCAGATGAAAAAGTGATTAGTTTTTCATGCTGCAGTGGTTCATTTTTGACGTACATATTCATGTTCATTAACATAATTCAGTCCAAAAGTGTGTGAGATACGAGGAAATGGCTAAAAATATTACAGCAGTTTTTGACACTAATATAACTTCATAGATAATTTAGCGAAGTATTTTTGACATTAATGGTACTCCATACATACCCAGGTCAAAATGACCCAAACATTTTAAATGTTTATATCTCTAAAAAAAGAATATTCTAAAAAATCTGAAAAAATAAAAAAAACAAATGATGTGTATTTTGAGGCTCTTAAAGTGTTTGCAAAGTTTTATTCCTTGAGTAAAAACTATGCATTTCATAGAAATTTTTATGCATCTCTTCCAGGTCAAAACAGACATGAAAGCGTAACGAGGGTTAAAATCTAATATTAAAGTTTCAGAAAAGATCTGAACAATGTTGTTGAACTCAAAAAGTCAGAGATCACAATATAAACTCTCATATTTCTCACCAAAATAATAAAAAAAATCGAATGTTATCCATGTTATCCACATCCGTTTAATAAAGTGTTTGTGTTTTACTCACTCTGGATGCGGAGCTCCTGTTTTTGTCAGCAGCGTCAAAACAAAGAACATAAAGATGACGAACACAGCCAGTCCGACCCAGAAGCCAATCACTATAGAGTCTGACGAAACAAAACCAGCATTTAGAACACACACACACACACAAACACACACACACGCACACACACACTCTCTTACACACACACACACACACACACACGCACACACTCTCTTACACATACACACACACACACACACACACACACTCT